ACCAGAAGCATCAGCTGGTGGCTGCAGAGTGAACCAACAGCAGAAGCTCCCTCCGCTTTGTCCTGCACTCAGACCTCCACTAGTCCTCACGATGACGAGGGGAAACCTCCTGACCTCCAACACGCCGCAGTGACTCCGCAAGAAAACAACAGACTGAGCTCACGACATGCAGCAGCGTTTTAAAAATGGTACAGGAAATCAAATATATTTATTTTCTTCCCAGGACAAAACATTCATAACAGACATTTTTTTTTCCTATATTAGCGTATTTTCAGGACGTAACGTACATCTCACAGACGGATGCATAGATAAATAAATGTTCAAGTAGAACTGTACATTCACTGGTACAGACTTTCATTCCAAAATGACACATCCAGCCTCAGTAGATCCAGCTTAAAGTCTAGATTGAGCATTATTTCAGCACATTTTAATACATTTAATCTTTTATTATTTTGTGATGGGGGAGAAATAAAATGTTTTAAAAGAGAGGAGTCAGCTGCTGAGAGCATTTCATGATATGTGCTGCAATCAGGCATCGCATCGCCCCACATGTGACATTTTTTTAAAACAGTTTGCATTTTGGAATGAAACCCTTCTGATAATTGTCTTCATGCCTACAGCTACGACAGTAACAACCTTGTAAATACGTAACAGTGCATTACAGTGCAGTAACAACCTGCTTTGGACATTCAGCAGTCAGTCGTGTCTTTTGTTTTACAGAAACAAATAAATAGAGCTTATTATAAAAACAACTGTTGACCAAAGGCAATGCTGTTGTGCCGCTGATTGTTCAATCTTACTTCTGTGACTGAATTTGGAGTGTTTGGCATGCTGTATTTGAACACATACTAAAACCAGGTCTGTGTGTCTGCAGGTTTTTGAGTAGCTTTATATTTCCACACTTCAGTGAAGTCGTCCGAGGGTTCAGGGTCTGTAAATATTTGTCACACTGAAGGGTGAAAATTAAAGCCCGAGTTTCATACTAAACAACTAAATGACTCTTCTCCCCTCAGACACAACAGCCTCCAGTGGAGAGTGACACTGACAACCAGCGATAAGACGGAAACAAACAAACGACACACTCCAGCATTTTTACAGATAAAAGACAAAATAATTGTGGGATTTACAAAACAATAATACTTCTAAAGTTCATCATGATGTAATTAAGGAGAATGCAACGATGCAGTGAGAATTCTCTCCTCGCTGTATATTGTTCTGAAACAACCCCTCAAAGCTTTCTGAGCTATAAAATCATCTTAATAATTACATGAAACACATTTGCAGCATTTTCGTTTTTAAAGTGCTTTTTGCAAAACAAAGATGAGACTGTAAGAGGTCGGATGATTCGAGTCCTGAGGAACACCGAGTCCTGCATAATATTCGAGGAGGACAAATCAACGGTTGCTTTGGAGAGATGAGGCTGATGCAGAAAAAGAGAAGACACAGTGTCAGATTGATCAGTGAAGGGTATAAAGCTACAGATGTGTGAATAAGACACCAAAGCCACTGTAATGAAGGACTTGTGGTTCTTTCTTCAGAGGTTAAATTCACCCCTTCAGACTCATTTTCTCTAACAGTCCACTGTTGGCTTCTTACTGACAGACTCTGAGGAGCTCATGTTGCTGTGAACACTGTTCAGATGAACATGAGGATTTAATAACAAGCTTTTATCAGTCTTTGGTCCACTCGTGTGGCATCACTTCACATTTCACTGTCCTGTGAGGTGGTGCCGACGATGAAGAGAGAGGAGGGATCTTTGCTGGAGCTCTTTGCTCTGTGTTTAGACCCGTGAGATTTACTGGATCCTTCCTGAACGCTGCTGCTGTTGCTGCTGTCTGATTCGCTGCTGCCTCTGCGACTCGTCCGAGGCGTCCTCTGGGCCTTCTCCTCCGGCTGTGGTAACCTCACCATCGCCATGCTGTTGCTTTTTTCTCCGTTAGATTTGGCCTTGGTAGCCTTTGCCTTTTTTGGTTTACCTGCTTTTGGGGTGGCGTCGGGCGACTTCCGAGGCAGCTGTGGAGACCTGCTCGGCTGAGGAGGCGTGACCGGCGGCTGCGGCGGGGCGGTGGGTGGGTTCATTCGGCCGGGCTGGCTCGGTTGTGCTGTTCCGTTGCTGACGACCACATCTGTGAGAAGGTCGTCGTCGGTCTGCTCCTTTGCAAAGCTGACAAACACCTACAGAAATGAAGTAGCTTTAGTGTCACAGTCCTATATATGCATACTCCTGCCTCTTCTCTTGAAATAGTCTTTGTCCTTAGGTTCATAACTGAGGACGGCTTAAGAACGTCTTCCATGTGAAAAAAGTTGGACGGTGGCTGTTGGCAGTGTGAAGAGAAGAGCATCTGATTCATTGATTAACTTCTTGGTCATCATGTATGTATTTTTAACTATAGATCAACTTCACATTGTCACAAAAACATTTGGACCTCAAACATCATCACATTACTACAGACGCTGTGAAAGTGACTTTTAATCATTTTGCTGCACATGAGTGGAACAAACTGCAGAAGCCACTAAAATCACATCAGCTGTTCGCTTTGAATCCTACTTGACCGACTTGTTGTTCTTTCTGTTGATGTCCTTGGTGTGTTTGTTGTATAATTTGTTACCTTTTGTGTGCTTTTTTCGTTTTACATACTGTCTCAGGGTGTCCTTGTAAAATAACATTTGCTCTAAATGTTTAAATAAAGGTTAAATATATATAAAATCTGAGCTAACTGGTCTCAAACTACAATTTAAAGATTGTTCAAGAGTCTAGCTGTCTTTGCCAGAAGACTCCATCCATCCATCTATACATCGTTTAATCCTCACTAGGGTCATGGGGGGCTGGAGTCTATCCCAGCTGACTCAGGGTGAAGGCAGGTTCACCTGGACAGGTAACCAGTCTATCACAGGGCTACACTTAGAGACAGACAACCAAGCACACTCACATTCACACCTACGGACAATTTAGAATCACCAATTAACCTCAACATGTTTCTGGACTGTGGGAGGAAGCTGGAGAACCCAGAGAGAACCCATGCTGCACGGGGAGAACACGTGCAGAAAGATCCTCACCGGAACATGAACCGGCGACGTTCTTCCTGCGAGGGAACGGCGCTAACCACCGAGCCATGCCAGAAGACTGAATTTTAAAAATATTTCTGTTAATTTGATAAAATTTGGTAACCTGGCATCCTAAACTTTGTAACGTTTCCCTGTAACAGCAAAATGTGGATGAAAGTGACATTTATTATGAATTTGGATAGTTTAATGTGTTCAGGTGGGAATACAAATACTTTTTTTGCCCAAACCTTAAGTTTATTTCTTACTGTTTGGTCCTGTCAAAGTCCATAAAGTCCAACATAATGTCCCTGCTACTGTAAAGTATATCACCCACTTCAAAATCCTAAAATAAACAACTGCTGTCTGTAAATATAAGAATCAAGCTGATATGAGAGCCTCATTTTGTGTCACAGGAACCTGCATTTAGAAACAAAATTATCTTATGAGACGACTGAGTGCGTCACTAAAGAGATTACTGAGCTCTTTGGAGTCTTACCTGTAAATTCTTATTAGCTGTCCAGTTAAAAATACATGTTAAACCTTGAAAATCTTGGTTCCTTCAAACAACGAGTCAGAAAACAAAGTCTGACGTGAAACATCATCACTTGCCGGAGATGTTCCTGAGCTCCCCTGTTCATGCCCGTTACACCGCCTTTATTGGTCAACCAGCTCGAGAAGTTTCAGCGTTTTCATCCCCTTTCCCTCTCACCTGATCCAGTGTCGTCTGTGAAATTGAGAAGTCGATGATGCCTAGCTCCTCGTAGTTGTTGGCCAGTACATCGAAGACGCGAGCCAGGCAGCAGGTGTGTGAGGGCAGCTGGTACTGCAGCACGTTCTGGTGCCGCTCCTTCAGCTGGATGCTGGGAAAAGACTTCATCACGTAGGCATCGACGGGACACAGGTCGGGGTCCACTTTAGTGTCCGCCAACCGCAGGATGATGGTGTATCCATCACCAAACCTGAGAGATGGAAAGAAAACATTAAATTCAAGATTTCATGCATTATAGTTTAACCGTCTGAATTCCAAGCAGTTTCTGGGTGTTTTCTGTCACATTTTCATCCACTGTGGGCTCATTTTTCAGCAAAACAAAGTCTTGCACCTCTACAGAAGCAGCACAACAATGACTAGAACTAGACAGACTCAAATGTCGTCTGTGCAGTAAAACAAAGGTATAAATCCTACAAACTTATTATTGTACCAAAATGTAAAAAGCTGGAATCATAGTTTAATTACCTGTTTTTCAGATGTTGTACAGATCCGAGACACTGAAACCTGCCGTTGACCATGATGGCCATCCTGGTGCAGAGAGCCTCACACTCCTCCATACTGGTCACACAGACACAGAAGGAAACCATCAACATGACTCTACAGAAACCTTTACCTGTTTGTGTTTGTGGTTTTCAGTGCTCCACTGATGGAACAGGGAGCTGTGTCCTCCCCTGTCTTGGTCGTTACGGACTTGTGTGAGGTTATATTCCCCTTATCGTAGGTGAGGTCATGCATTAGGTGTCCATCTCCTCCTACCTGTGTGAGGTGAGTACGACTGCTCTGCCCTCTTTGGTGACACTGAGGATGCAGTTCCACAAAAACCTTTTGGCTTTTGGGTCCATACCAGTGGTGGGTTCATCCTGGCAACAGGTAATAACATGGGGGAAAAAAAAGCGGAAAATGTTACTTCATGGACAAAAGTCACGTCTTTCTAAACGGCTCATCCTCGGTGGTCAGAATCAAGCCTAGTGGTTGCTCTTCAGCTGTTTCATTCCTCACCAGGAATATAACAGGTGGAGCCCCAATGAGGGAGATGGCCGTGGAGAGTTTCCTCTTGTTGCCTCCGCTGTAGCCTCCAGCCTCCTGCTCTGCATACTGAGTCAGCCCCAACTTCTTCACTCCCCACTGCGCCACCTACACAACAGCAGAGAAGCTACTTCACTGTCACAGTGTATTATGTTTGGTATGACATTTAAAATTCCCCCCTGAAGAGCAAAACAGTAAATGTTTGGCATTTTAACACAATACATGGCAGCTGCATAAAGCTAAATAAAGGCAGCATCTCATCCCCATATGTTCCTTCATTAAGATCAGTGTTGGGCTCTTTTTTATCATTTCGTTACCTTGGTGACAGACTCCTCTGGCACCCCCCGCAGGCGGGCGTACAGCTCCAGATGTTCTCGTCCTGTCAGCAGGTCACTGATGGCGTCAAACTGTGGACAGTAACCCATCAGCTGGTGGACTCGCTCCATCTCTGTCAGCACACTGAGAACCAGACAAACAGTTGAAGACAGACGACAAATCCTTCATAGAGGTTGAAGTCACTGCAGCGGTGGAGAAGTTCTGTACCTGTAGTGGTTGAGGAAAGCCTCTCCATGTGTGATGGGTGTGTCCCCAGTCAGCATGCGAAATGTAGAGGTCTTCCCCGCTCCGTTCACCCCGAGCAGGCCGAAACACTGGACGGCAAACGCACAACAGCACCGTCTTACAAATGTATCCACACACTCAACAGATGAGACTTTGTGAAGTTGTTTAGTCAAAACTGAACAGGTGCAGAAGCTACAGCAGTCGTAGCTGAGACAGCAGTGTGAACATCAGCAGTAGGAGGAAGTAGTAAGAGTATGTTTAGGAACTGTAGCGCCAGTAGCAGAAGTAATAACAGCAGCTACGGTGACTGTAGAGGCCACATGCGGAGCTGCAGTTTACAGTTTGTATTACAACATAATTACCGTAATACATCAACTGAAGTGTGATAACCAGCGCCGATCTCAGATAATGACTGTATAACTACAACTCATAGACACAGATAACAAACACAGAGCTGATTTGATGACAGATACAAATGTATTACTGTCTTAATGGTACTGTGACATAATCAGCGGCGTACTTGGTGTGTAAATCTCTCACCTCGCTGCGGGGAATCCCGAGGCAAAGACGGTCCACCGCTGGTTTTCTGCCTGCTTTGTAGACCTGAACAACAAAAAGTCCTCTGTTATGGTATGAGCCGGGAATTCACACTGATGCAGTCGCAGCAAGCAGTCAGTCAGAAGGAGGAGAGTTCATCAGTGTGACTGAACACACTCAACGTAAGCGAGGATGTGTGATGTGAAGAGGACGAACGGAGGGTATGTGTTAAAATTCAGAAATTTTTTTTTTTTTAAATCTTGTATATATGAGGTGTGTCAGAGAAGTTCCAGGACTGGTATCACAAAAGATGTATTTCAGACCCAAACTACAAACTACGCCCTTTTAGAGGATCAACCAGCACGTCTACAAAGAGATCCTGCGGCGTTTGTTTCGTTCAAAAGAAGAAAAGGTGAGAGTTGTGGCAGGACAAGTCGTGGCTGCTTCACCATGACAACCTGCTCACAACGCCCTGAGCATCCCACAGTTCCTGGCTGAGACGAACATCTCCGTGCTGGAGCAACTTCCCTACTCACCCCACCTGGCTCCGTGGGATTGTTTCCTCTTCCCCAAGCTCAAGGGGGTCATCAAGAGGACCCGTTTAGAAGACATGGACGACATCAAGATGGCTGTGACGACAGAGCTGCAAAGGATCCCAGAAGAATCCCTCTTGGAGTGCATGGCGGCATGAAGAGAAGGCTGAGAAGTGTGTTAGACTCCAGGGGAATTACTTGGAAGAGGAAAGCTTGTAGTTTGTAGTTTGGATTTGAAATATATCTTTTGTGACACCAGTCCTGAAACTTTTCTGACACACCTCGTATGCATCCATGTCGGTTGCATCATATTCAGCTGCATAAGTGGATATATAATCTGTATAAGGGTGCACATGTTGTTATGTATTAAAGCTTTTAAGTAGCTGTTGATTAACTTCAAACGTGTGGCTTTTTGTTGTGCTTCGCTGACAAGTGATATATTGGGTTAAGTTCCAGTGAGGAAATCAGGCATGATGGCTGACTACAAAACTAACAACAACAAAAACAAAAAAGCACACAGTCAGTTCTAACAAACAGGATTGAAATGAGGAGTTGTTTTGTGGGAGCTGCTTTTTAATCAAAGTTGCACATGTTTAGCCACATTAGCATTTGGAAGGTGGACTACAACACAAACTATTTCAGTTTTACATTTGTATGTTGGCTGTACCTTGCTCAGGTCCATCATAGTGAGGATGTCTGATTGGGCTTTACCACTTTTGACCCTCTCTCTCTCTTTGGCGACGTCCTCATCCTCTGGACCGAGAGGAGCCATCTCAGGCTCGACCCACCACGGCCTGAACAGAGAGACAACATCCCCCGGCCCCATTCAGCTTCGCTACTGTGCAACAAGTGTAACTATGAAAGCTGTCTTGTCTCATGTTTCTACAAAGACATACGTTTATTCATCTTAATAAGTAATGACAAAATGGTGAAAGGAGAGAGGCGGTTTTACCTGAAGCGAATGAAGAACTTGTACTGCAGGAGGATGGTGAAGATGAAGAAGATGACACCTTGAGCTGCCATCGCAAACAAGTTCTTCCCCACAAAGTCCCACTCAAGAGGGTCCAGAGTCTGTTTGGTGCCTGCAGGACACAAAGCCACTCTTTATACACACATATATACACATATATATTTAGTCCTGTGTGTTTGCTGCAGTCTAACAAGCAGTGTAAGTGTTGCATAAAACGATACTCCTAAAAACCTTCTTTGTCAAAAAAAGTAGCAGTGAGCAGCGAAGATTAAAAGCACACAAGTTTCTGGTTTCGATTTTGAAACACTGAACCGATTTTTAGACGGCAGATGTGTCTTTAGAAGCTGATGGACGTACCCAGTCTCTGGAAGGCATCGGCCATGGCTTGGTTTTTGGCCATGTCAATAAGTCCTCGCCCCAGGCAGAAATGAGGGAATATTAAAAACACCTTCTTCAGGATTCTGTTCACCTCATTCAGATGCTGGACAGAAAGAAAAATTATTCGCAAGTCATGCACTAGTTGAGGAGCATTACTTAAAATATATATATTTTTTGGATTGCACGGAAAAATTCAGTGATTCCTGTTCAGTGTATGAAGACGTCTGGTTTACCTCACTTCTGCAACACCTCCATTACAAATCTGTAAACCCTGTAAATCTAAGACCCTTCAAGGTGCTGTATGGCTTCATGCTTACATATATCTAGGCCTAACTTCTTGCTGAATTTTCTTTATTTTTATGATATATGCAAGAAGTCATTCCACATTCTCACGCCTGTGCAGCTCAAAGGGTAATTTGTACCTCATCTACAAACAGCTCCAAGACGAAGGTGGCGATGCTGCCGTTAATTCCAATGAAGAGGTTGATGGAGGTCAACACAACGTAAGCTGTGCTCGGGACGGTGAACACAAAAGATGCTGGGTACATTAGAGGAGTTATGGACCACCTAGAAAGGATAATTAGCGGTTCAGTAAAAAAAAAAAAAGAAAAAAGAAAAAAAGATGCATTTCTGTTGTTATAGACCATCATCCACCTGGTACAGTGGGATGACAGACATCTGATGAGCTCATCTAACTTTTACAGATTAAAAATGTTTGTGTTTTTAGATTAGCAAGGAGCAAAAAGATGATTAATATTAATTACAGTTAGGAGCAATATGCTGTTAAGTATAACTAATTATCTGAGTTGACTGAGAGAGAAATTAGATTAAAATATTGAGACAATCAGAGCAAAAGAAAAGAGCTGATCCTGGAACAAACATGGCTCGTTTTGATTGTTTAGTCTGGTCAGTTATGTGATCTTAAATGTGTGACAGCAGTAAAGAAGTCAGTGAGGTCTGCTTAAACGCACCCGTAGAGCAGGAGGAGCAGGACAAGAGCAGGCAGGTTGGTCTCAGAGACATACGACTGCTGCTGGAAACTGATGAAGATCAGCACCACCATGGTGGCCGGGACGGTGTAGTTCAACTGAGGAAACAACATCAACAAATTCAGTAAAAGAGCCTAAAATATATATATATATTTTTTAACCAAATCTGACAGCGTAACTGATAGAGTGAGGAAAATATCTCTTCTCATTTGTCTTGCATACTGACCATGTCCCAGACAAAGTTGGCCAGCCAGTAGAGGATCGGTTTGACTCCGCTGACAAACTGCAGGTGTTTGGCTTTGCTGACTCGCTCTTCAATTAGAAAAAGTACAAAACTGGCCGGCACAAAGGACATGGCAAAGATCACACAGATTGAAACCAGAACATCCACTGACGTGGTCATCCTGAAAGAGGACGCAGAGAAAACACACGTTAGCGTACACAAAGTATTATTGTAGATCGGTTTTATATTACAGCTAGAAAAAATGTGAAAATCAACAATTACTGACAATATTTTGGTCCATTTATTGTGGACTCTTTTAAAAGTATTTCAATATGCAGCACAGTGTTACTGTATGCACTTTTTGCCTTCCATTTCCACTCATGTTGGTTTTCACCACAGCCTTTTAAAGTCTAAATCCACCATAAACCTCCTCCTGACTTTAATCCATCAGACTTCAGTGTCCCGAGTAAAATGAATTCACCTCTTGAGACAAATAATAGCAATACAAAGAAGCAGAATATAAATCCATCAGAATCATCATAAAGTCTCCACAGCAGGAAGCTCACATGGCCATTTCAGTGAGCTGCTCCTTGGTCAGGTTGAGGGGATGGTTATAGGCAGTGATGCCGTATTTCCTCCTCTCTGGACCAGGCGGCAGGCTCGCTCTGAGCAGGCCGTTGTTCATCACGTTAACAAATGACACCATCGCGTGCCAGCCTTTGTTGTTGTACCACACCTGAGCCAACAAAGAAAGAAATGACATTTAGCCTGCTGGGAACATCTGGGTAAAAAATCTCATTATTTTCATTTGGCCAAAAAACAAGATAAGTGCAGCTAAATTATAAAGGAAGTCTGATAAACAGACAACAAAAATGACAAGACATCTGTATCTAAAACACAGGAGGGATGAAGGGAGGATCTTTAAAGGCTGTGGAAAACAAAAAGAGGCAGAAAAAGACAGAAATATTCACCTTGACATTGTTTTGACTGTTCAGCCCTCCTATGAATCCTGGCAGTCTGTTTAGGAGATGATCCAGTGAACTGTTCTGTGAGGATCATTAGGGCATAAAAATATGAAGTGAGAAACATTTAGAGAACATCAAGATAGAAGTTAAACAACCTTGAAACCTTACTGTACCTGCGGGACTCGGTAACGAGTCCTGACTCCCATGACCGATTCTTGGAGATGCTGGACCTGAGATACAGTCTGGGTGGCGCTGCCTCCGAGGGAGAAGCCTCCGTATCTGAAACAACACAGACATCACCTTTTGGAATTCAGTCATTCAGCAGAATAAACTTCAAACAAGTATAAGGGACACGGGGAACCTAAATCACAGCTCTGAGAACTGCAGATCTTTTGTAACTGAACAGCTTACCTGAATTCATTCACCCACTTCTTGGTTTTCAGGCTGGTAATGGCACAGAGACAGAAAGATTCAAGGTTATCAAGTATGAAGTCACATGAAAGGCAAATACAGGACTAAAACATTTTGGGTTATTCATTATTATTTGTGCAAATAAATGCATATATATGTAAATTATTATCTTCATGACCAACAAAGGTAACAAATGGAATCCTGTAAAAATGCAAAGTGTTGTATTGAGTTGAATACCTTTTCTTGAGGATTTGAGAATAAGTCTTCACCAGGTAATCAGAAATGTTATAACTTGTCAAATTTTGGAGGATGTCTCCAGTCAGCCTCTTAATCTGAGAAATAACAATTCAGAATGGTTAGACGAAGAGCAGCAGAGCCTGATGCAGTGCAGACACATGCCAGAGAACAACATTACAAGGCTTCTGATAAATTTACACTTTCTGCTGCCTGCAGAGCAACTTTTAGTTAACTGAAAGTGCACTGGGCATATATTCAATCCAAACTGCAATCCCTGATGCAGTGTGAGGAATGAGGAACTCTGCACAACCAGTGTATTGGTATTGACCTGACACCACACTGACCTGTGGAGGCGGCATCCCACCTGCACCCTCTGGGCACTCGGGGAGCATTCGGCGGATGTTTTCTGTGCTGCACTGACAGTCAGGTGAGGGTCTGTTTCTGCTCCAGTTGCCTTTGCTGAACATCTGCCAGGTGGAGAAGGAGACCTGTGGCCTCATGAGCGGACCTCTGCGCTCACTTCCGCACTGAGGATTTCTGCAGGAATAAGCAGTTTAATATCTGAACACTTGCTCGAATATCAGCTGTGAGGCTTCAGTTCATCAACAAACACATAAATATTTTTAAAAGATATAAAGGTTCAACAGAACCTACACATTTGCTAGTAGCAGATGCTGCAGGTTCTACTGAAGGCCAGTGCAAGTTTTGGATGGTTCAATATCCCCCCAAAAATTAGACTTTGTAAAGAACCCAGTAAAAGGTGCACACATACTTCTATCCAACGCTGTACTATCTTTATAAGAAAAGCAGAATGAATGTTGTTTCCAAATGTATGTCTGGCTGTCTATCATGCTAAAAATCCCTCTACCTTCATTATGACCTCCACTGATGCCACTGAGACAAAGTGTTGTGTTTACAGAACTAGTCTTACGTGCTGTTTTCCTCCTGCTCGTTCTCCATGCACTTGGTACCAAAACCTGGCTGGTCCAGCAGAGCTTCCAGCAAACTCTCAATGGCTGGGTTCCCCGGGGCATCGTTGCTGTGCCACCAGAAATGAAGGAATGTGTTAGAAAGTGTGGGACAACCGTTTTCAAGCATTAGACTTTCACTATGTATCTGGTTATCTCTGAGTAATGGAGCAGACCAGATGAATGCACATCAGACTTTTCTGTGCAGAATAAGGTTGTGGAGAAGAGCTGCCTGCAGTCCTACCTGAAGAAGGTGTACTGCTCTCCGTACATCCAGGGCTGCAGCTGCAGGGCGGGGTACTTCCCAAATGGAGGAACAATGAGGCTGAAGAGCAGAGCGATCAGCACGAACACAGCAGGCAGAACAATCTGAAGCACAAATCAAGTTTCAGCTTGAGTGACTGCAAGATCAACTTAAGGACATGACAAGTCTTTCTCTAATTCCACAAACAAAAAAACAAAAAAAGCAAAAACTTCTTGAAAACAAACCCTCAAACAGTCGACTAGTCATTTAACTGAGGATGGAAACCATAAACCTCCACTGACTGAACGTAGCTGTCTAACCTGAGCCAAGAATCCCCTGCGGCTCCTCCGAGCATAAAGCCAGCGTTTGACGAAAAGTGCTCTCAGCTGCTGCCACGTCAGCCACCAGCCGGTCAGAGGGACGCCACCTCGACCATCTCCACTCAGCAGGTCGGTCTCCTGAGGTTCTGCCACCAGCATAAACACAGGGTGATATGTTTGGCTGATAAATACACACACTTTGACATAGATATTGACACATTTGATATGATGGAGACACAAAAAACAAGAGTCGAACTGGACATAACTGCTGACGTTGTCATGTCTATCACAATTTACGGCTATTCAACATTAATTTCCTTCCTACGAGAGAATAGTTGTGGTGTGTGCTATCTTTAATATAGTGAATCTAAATTAAAGGAGGGGAAAAAAGTTTGCTTTCTATTTAATGACAATTTTCAGCAAGTGGTAAACCGCGGGTACCTTGTTTACGAAGTCTTTTCCTTCCTGGCAGCATTATGGAAACAAACAGTCACAATGGGACACGCGACAGAAGACTGACTGTACATGATGCATGGTGTGTACACAGATCTGTGTGTCTCTGAGTGTGAACTCACCCGTCTCTGGTTCCTCAGGAGGCTCCCCCTGAGCTCCCTGCACTGATGGCTGCTGGCTGTCGGGGGATTCAGCCTGCTGCCCTGGTTCACTGTCCACGCCAGTTTCCTCCGCCACTCGCAGAAAGATCTAAAAAACATAATCATCACTTTAAAAGATATCATTCTACTTTTTAATAGTGTGGAAAGAAAATTCCCCAGAATGGGTAAAGAATTCTGTTTGGGGTAAATGTACACCGTCGACGTGACACTCCTCGCTGTAGCAGGCCCAAGATGGTTCTAATGAACACACTCAACCATAGCAAGTTCTAACTGAGTTGTCCTGACGGTTAAAGCTGCCGACAGCAGGTGGCGGTGAAACAAGAAGTCAGCACTTGAGTGGCAAATTCAGAGTAAACTTATCGGGCTCCATAAGTCCGCTATCAGTGCTAATCTGATGCCAACGTTAAGCCCATTATGAACACGGCTCCTCCACAAATATCCAGCCTTCCAGATAAGACTCGGCTGAGCTGCAGTAAATCACAGTGGCGGGATGACTAATGCCTCGCTATTGTGAAATGCCGATTCTGTCATGCGCGCAGACATACATGAAGAAGAAAGCTTTGCATGGCTCTGATGGCTTACAGCTGATCTTTTTTTTCTGTGGGGCAGGTAAAAATACACACAAACAAAATCCACTAAGTCTTGCTCAGTATTAGTCGACAACGACTGGGAAAAAACACAACGTGGTTTACCTTGAAGAGACATAATATTACTATATTATTCTTCTAATATTTAGGAAAACAAAGAGAGTCTCAGGCAAAAACATGATCTGTCTGAATCATACAGCAGCTGGTGGTCTAGTCAACACATGAGGCCTGCATATAAAATATAGAGGACACTAAAGTAGGAACACTGTACATGCTAATAAACTGCAAAACTATGATAAAACATAAGAAGTATTGTGCATACAGTGGAGATGCATAAAATCCTGAAAATAACAAATAATGAATAAATAACAATGATCCATAATAGTATTATTATTAACAATCTTCATCTTCTTTTTGTTCTTATCTTTATTCTAGTCTGCCATTTTATTTAGTTCTTTTTCTTTTTGTCAAATTTTTGGTTTTCATTATTATTATGATTATAATGATTATTATGATTATTATTATTATTACTAAAAATAACAAACATTTGACAAAAAGAAAAAGAACTAAATAAAATGCCAGAGACTAGAATAAAGAAAATAAATAAATAAATCCCAAAAAGTATGTCGATGCACCAAAGTATATAATCTTACTTCTCATTCCCATTCACTGTAATACTATGGAGTAATTCAGTCATACATGTCTGAACTGGTTCTTAATTAGAATAACGATACAGAAAGCTCCACCCTTCAAGTTGACAGGATTGGTTCTTTCGTTTGTTTTTTTTTAAGTATATGAAACCATAGAAGTCTGAATCCATGTTTTACGACTGTCATCAGTAGACGGCAGTTTTCAGAAGGAAGTGCTCAGTCATGGTGTTGACTACTTATTTCACTCATAATGTATTTTCCACCATATAAAAAGCTCTGTGTGGACATGTTAATAAGATTTAAAAAATTTGATTTTCACTGGAGTCTGGGAGTCATTCATTTATTTTTTCTGCTATCAGTCTAACAAAGCTATAATATACCAGCTGCATCATCCTGTTGTACTCCTCCAGGAAGTTAACGCTCTCACTGACAATGCTTCTATGACATCACTATGAATGCAATTAAATAAAAATCTAGACTGACTTGTTTTTGATTTAAAATAACTGTAACTAAATTTGCTGTGTTTTACCAAATATCCTTTCAACAGTTTAAATTGTTTCCAGTAAAAACTCTGAAAGGCCAACTGCTCACTTCAACCTATGTCAGAGGTACTTCAGCCGTAGCTATCTATCTCTGTGGATAATTAAAATAGATTAACACTTATGAACTCTTGATGACAGTATCAGTCAGTTACATGGAAATACTGACTGCCTCATACTTTACAGTAATTACACATTTCTTGTTGTTAGCTGCACAGTGTGTAAGTGTGACTGCGTCTCACCTGCTCCAGCGTGCTGTCTGACAGACCGTAGCTTCTGATGCCCAGCTCAGCAAGCTTCTGATCCAGGTCAGACAGGAAGAGGGCCAGGCTGCTGTCCTTGGCGGCCGTCTGCGGCAGGTTGATCACTGCCTCGCATCTAGACTCCTCCACCAGCCTCGCACCGGGGATGTGATGCTGCACCAGGGCGAGCAAAGCTGCCAGGTCTGTCAACGGGGATGACGATCAGTGGGACGTTACATTGGTGCTTGTAGAACGTGCAGAGGCGTCAAACTGTTCAACAATTAACAAATAACCGCCTCGACTCACTGAGGAGGTTACGCAGCAGTTTAACACTCACATGAGCTGCTCTCCTCACTCCCCAGTCCAGTGTCTTCACTCAGGGACGACTCGCTGTCCTGAAACACAAAGCAGCATTCACAGTATTTGCAAAGAAACAAATGAGGACGCCAAAATGTCAGTGAGTAACTGTCCCAGTCATACTCTGAATTTTTTTATGCACATTTTTTCTTTGTTTCACTCCTAAGCACAAGTTTAAAGACCAAGTTCATAAAAAAAACAAATAAAAAAACTACAACTCGGTTGACAATGAGTTGTTAAACACTTGGTAGATGTTTTTTTTTTTTTTTCTGAAACTGTGTGAAAATAAAAACAAACCTTGACAAGCGGAGGCAGCTTGTTCGTGCTGATGCTGGTGCTGGTGCAGATACTGGAACTACTGGGAGTGCTGGTGTCCATTCCCTCCCTCTTCACCACAGTGAGGTAGTAGCCAGATCCCAGGCGGGATTTCAGGAAGAGCGGTGAGCCGCAGCAGCACAGCTTCCCCTGGGAGATGATGGCGATCCGGTCACCTAGCAGCTCCGCCTCATCCATGTAGTGGGTGGACAGGATGATGGTGCGGTCTGATGGAGGAAGGCGGCAGAAACACACACATATTGACCATTTATTTCACTTGTCTTTGTTTTGCGAGTCTCATGTTGGGCCGGTGTGAGAGGAGTCCTATAAATAAGTCTTGTGTGAAACATCAAGTTCAAGTTAAGACAAACAAAGTGACAAAGTTGTCACCCCAAAACAGCATTGCTAGTTGACATGCCTTTCAATTTACACCATCTCGCCTTGGCAAGTTGCCCTTTAAAATATGGATTCCACTCATCCCCCCCGACTCAGAAAACACAATGAGATCCACTGTTCCACAACACCTTTGCGGTATTTGAGCAGCAGGTCCCAGATCCCTCTGCGGGAGTACGGGTCGACACCAGCAGTAGGTTCATCCAGGACAACCACCTTCGAGCCTCCAACAAACGCTATCGCCACAGACAGCTTCCTCTGCATGCCACCTGCCAGACATGTTTTTTTAGTTTTAAAAAAGAAAACACATTTATCACAACAAACGTGACTCCTTTAAATGCATTCAGTTAAATGAGTGACTGTACCGGAGAGGTTTCTGGTCTGGTCGTGTCGTTTATGCAGGAGGCCAACGTCATCCAGCAAAGTTTCCAGTTCAGCGTTCACCTGTTCTTCAGACAAACCCTTCATGCGGCCGTAAAACCACACATGCTCCTCCACTGTTAGTCTGACACAGAACGACATGCACACAGAGAAACTATGAAAATCTGTTGAAATCATTCAATCAATCAAATCGATTTCTCTTGGTAAAGCATTCAAGTTCACTTTTTGGATTTTTTGGCAAATTTCCTAAAAAAATCCAAATCAAAAATCTCTCATTTACAAAACTACTGAGACCCTTAATTTAAGGGTCTTAATACTTATACAGGTTTCTTGGCTGTAAGGTTTGGTTTATGGTCATGCTAAACGGTGAACCATCCTCTCAGTTCTCAGCAGGTTTTCGTCAAGGACCTCTAAGTAGCTGCAGTCTTCCTCCATAATATGATGCTGCCTCACCATGCGTCACTGTTGGAAAGGCATTAGCAGGTGATGTTCACGACACAGAGTGTTGGAAATTCTGCCCTAATAGTTCAGTGTTTGACTGATCAGACTAGAGACTCATTTAACTTGTGCTTTCAGGATCGTTTGAATACAGTTTGGAAAAACTCCAAGCACGCTGCTATGTGCCTTTTATTTAGACTGGCTGCTCAACTATAAATGAATAATTAATGAAGTACTGCCGAGAAGGTTGCGCTTTCCGGAGGTTTATCGTTGCAGAAGATTTCTATAACTCCTATGAACATTCAGATCTTTGAAAATAGTTTTATACCTGATCACTACCCAAAGCTTCATAGACTCTATAATTGAGTTTTTTGTCCTGACATGCAGTGTGATGCTATAAATGCAGGTGTTTTACCATCAGAACTGTATCCATTCAGTTTGCCACATGTGGACTCAAGTCAGTTCAAGACACATCTCAAAGATTATTTAAGATGCACACGATTTGAAGGCATATCATAGGATTTGAATTCTTATGGAAATTTCATTTTGTGATCTTTAATAATTTGCTAACATTTCTAAAAACATGTATTTGTTTCGGGTCTGCAAGGTGGCTCGGTGGTTAGCACCGTCGCCTTGCAGCAAGAAGGACTGAATCCTAGTGAGGACACCTGGGATCTTTCTGTCTCCATGTTCTCCCCGTGCAGCGTGGGTTCTCTCCGGGTTCTCCGGCTTCCTCCCACACAGTCCAAAAACATGTTGAGGTTAATTGGTGATTCTAAATTGTCCGTAGGTGTGAATGTGAGTGTGCTTGGTTGTCTGTCTCTAAGTGTAGCCCTGTGATAGACTGGTTACCTGTCCAGGTGAACCTGCCTTCACCCTGAGTCAGCTGGGATAGACTCCAGCCCCCCATGACCCTAGTGAGGATTAAGCGGTGTATAGATAATGGATGGATGAATTTGTTTTGTCATTATTGATTACTCCGTGTAGACTGAATTAAATCTTCACGACAGTCAAGTGTGCAAAAAGTGAAGGACTCTGAAATATTTTGTGAAGTGGCTGTAAGTTTGGACATCTGGTGGTAAGAAGGTAATCTAGTTGTTTATTTGTTTAATAATGTGACTTGTGTGCCTAATTTCATTAAATGATGAGTCACAACATTTTCTTAGGTGTAAACGAAGCCATCAGACAAAACAGCACACTAAAATCACAGCTGGTCATTTGATGAGCCTTACATGTCAAACAGGACGTTGTGCTGAGGACAGACTCCCAGCGTCTTTCGGATGATGTCCATGTCATGACGGATGTCCATCCCCTTGATGTAAACAGTTCCAGAGGTAGGCGGGAACAAACCAGTCAGGACGGATCTGACAAAGATTCAAAGAAATACCTTTTAACACACACACACACACACACACAAAAAAAGTAGACAATTATCTCATTCCTGTCATTCCTGCGGCTATATCAGTTCTGGCACTTGTTTACTGTGATTATCCAAACACATTACAATAACATGACGATTATGTGTATGAGTTCACATACAGTAACAGCTATTAAACATTAGGTAAGTCTCACACAGCCAGTTCCATTATTTATGCATCTAATTGTATCATCAGTGAAGGTAAGTCCTCTCTGTCCTTCAGCTCTTACATCGTCGTGGTTTTGCCGGCTCCGTTGTGGCCGAGAAAAGAGGTGATCTGGCCCTCGTAGAACTTGAGGTTCAGATGGTTGACAGCTAGTTTTGCTCCCTTCTTGTAGATTTTCACCAGGTTTCTGATGCTCACACCCAGGATCAGATTACTGGGTTCTGCTTCAATGCGATCTAATTACAGACATAAAGAGACAATACAAAACCTATGAGTATGCTGGGGGATATCTGTGGCTAAATGTTTGATACTAATCACGCTAGAAAATAATCAGTAATCAATAATAAAGTAACAGAGATGTTCATAATTCTAATTTTGGAAAAAAAAAAAGTCCAGATGAAAGGCGTTCTGTGTAACAGGACTAAGACACAACCTGTCAGTCAACAGAACAATGTGAAGTCTGGATCGATGCTAAAATTGAACTGCAGTCTCCTTGTTTCCTCAAACCTTGGAATTAATGGGCTTATAGTCTCAGCTCACTAACTTGATTTGTAGTTAATGGTCTTAAGATTCCAAAACTGCCAGTACAGTCTTTAGACTGGTTTGAGGAGCAGAGCTGAAGACGGCTGACCGCATTCCGCCCGTCAACAAAATCTGTCCAATAAACGAGCTACTTATCAGTCATGTGGCTTCTGTTTACAAACTACAGTTTCTTCTGTAATAAAGGGACATTTAGAAGAGAAACAGCTGTTGGTGTGCAGCAGCTTCTCGTACCTTCGCCCTGCTCTGTAGGCGCAGGTGGGATCGGCATGCCTGCTTCAAGAGGAATTCCACCCCAGTAGTTGATTTGAAAGATGAAGTACCAGGGCCTGGGGATCCCATACTCACCTGGTGCAGAAAAACACAGACATGTGCACATTCAAGAAAAGGAAACAAAATGTTTGCATGTATTATTTAGCACAGACAGGGGTTTTGATTTTGATGAAAGAACCAGTTTAACCAGCTCATCTGGCCACGCTGCATTTCTCTGTTCAGCTGTTTGTCCACAAAGTACGACCATCTGCTGTTACTGCAGTGTCAGTGGCGACTATCCTAACCCACAGGACAACTCGAACACAAAGCAGAATTTGTCTTTACACAAATTCTCAGAATAGTTTCAATCTTACCTTTTTAACAAGGTTTAAAAGAAAGCCTCAAGTTGTGGCTTTTAAACCTTCATAGCTTTTTGTTCTAACTTCAGTATTTGTGTTCTCACTTGCATCTGTCTCTGAAAATTAAAACCCAAAACCAAACTAAAAGTTTATACTTTAAAATGGGATTTTAGTCCTCTTGCAGCAGCGATTCAAAGAAATTCAACATACTTAATGTTAATAGCTAAGACAAAGTTCCAGTTATCCTACCAGGAAACACTGCTTCGATGTACCAGGCTGCAATAGCGTAGATGAAGGCGTCCACATAAAGCATAAGTATGGAGGTAGTGAAGCTGTACGTGTCTCCTTCCACAGGGCTGAAGCGCAGGTTGTACCACTGGATGCCCACGCCTTGCTCTTCATACTGAGAGAAATACTCACAGCCAAATCCAAAGGCCACAGGAGACAGGAAGCTCTAAAAGACACAAACCATCACATTAGAAGCTGTTAAATATATGTCTGACACTCATAAATTTAGTTTATGTTTCAATAAACATGACTCTTTCATTATAGCAGACACAACAGATTTGATAATGTAGAATGGTAAATTAAGAGATATTTCAAGCTTTTTGATTGCACCCATAATTAGTTCACTCACAGCGAAGACTCGGTGCGTGGTGTTGAGGCGGTCTCTCCAGGCGACACACAGTACGTAGGGCAGGTAGAGGCCAAAGTAGATGAGCCCCCCACAGGCAGCAGCCAGGTTGGCTTTGGAGAAGAAAGTGCTGATGAGGAAACACTGCATGATCGTAGCAGTGGCAAAGGCCATGAGGAAGAAGAAGACAACAGCCGGGTCGCTGTACGGCAAGATGTCACCCCACTGCAAGGAAGAGAGAGGACGAGCATCAGTAGAGGAGTTGACAACAAACAAATGTTACAGCTAGTTTATATCAACTGTACTTCAGTATATTTTGTGCAGAGCAGGCCATCTTGCCTTGAGCAGAGCAATAAGAAGAGCTGCAGAGATCAGGAAAGGAACCAGGCTGCTGATAAACCAGCTGAACCACAGTGTTCCTGTTCCCAGGCCCATAATCCTCATGGTTTCCTTCAGCCTCGCCTCCTTCTCGTACACCACGCCTTTGATGATCATGGCCACCGAGTAGATCCAGGCCAGCGTCATGAAGAGTGGCAGGGAGCGGTTGAGCACTCGAAGAAAACTGAAAGATAGTCAGAATTTAAACATATGTGTTGATGTCCATCCATCCATCCATCCATCCATCCATCCATCCATCCATCCATCCATCCATCCATCCATCCATCCATCCATCCATCCATCCATCCGTCCATCGTCTATACACCAGCAGAACATGCAAACTCCAGGTAGAAAGATCCC